CTCAGACTTGAATAAAAACATGTCTGAGAACGCACTCTGAGGCAATTTTGGTAGTCCTCCACTGTACCTCCAGATAGGTTCATAACCTTACTACTGTAGTAAGGGGAAAAGTGGTACTATTAATAGTAACGTTAGTACATATATTTGCAAAACAGTACTAACGTTACCTCTGTTTTGCAAATATTGCAAGCAGTTTCAGATGGGATACTTCTTCCAAATCTCTGATTGGCAAACCAATGGGTGCGTTGCGTTCCTATTAGTCAGACGAATCCATGTGTATTTTTTCTCGAATTATATACTGTAACGTTATTCGGATTTCGCTGTGAACCACCAGCCACTTTCCAATTCAAAAGTATCAGACAGAAAATATTTTTTGTGATATATTTTGAAATATATTCAATTTTCAGTCAAATTATTCCGAAATAGAGGACGTTCATTGGCTAGATTTGAGAAAGCATTGCATTTGCCAAAACATCTTCACAGTCAACCTAGGGACTTGATCAGTTTATACGTGCATGCATGCAACCACAACCATTAATGGGTATTTAGAAGGACTTCGACATCTCATAGTAAGCTATTACAATTCATTTATCGTAATATAGCGTTAGGATTTCAAGCCCATTGAGCTACAGTACAAGCATGGAAGCAATGCTGCAGTGATGGCAGGAGTAAACAAGGTAATCGATCAATATCGCGAACTTTGTCATTATACCCAATCCAATGGCTTAATTCTGTAATAAGGAGTTTTCATTGGATATGATTATATTCAGCAAAAGGATCAGGAAACCACCTTGAAGTTCAAAACTAAATTCATTTTTATGTTGTCCCAGGTATAATATTTTTAAAATTAATATTCCATGCATACAAAACTAAGATATTACGACCGTTCGCGAAATACAAAGCCAAAAAAGTTTCACCAATTCTTTAACGTGACGCTATTATTTCCAAACTCAAATCGAGTATTGGGATATTTCAGGCACTTCTTGGCACTAAAAAATGCAGCTGGAGATTTATATTTTCCAACGCTACCCTTAGATTTTTTTCATTTGAGGGACATTTTGTGGTAGAGTGCTTCAAACATTTGACATTTTAGTGCACAAAAAGTGTTCGCGATATTGATGGTTTACCTTAGTATTAATACTACTACAGCAGTAATACTGTACGGTAGAGCTACGTAAGAAGTACCACCTCCGGTGTACTTGTAGAATTTATTCACATTTTTTTATTGTCAAGGAACGCAGCTAAAATGAGCAATGTTACAGTAACTTTACAGTTAATGGGTTTGAAACACATCAAACTTGAGATCAAATACTCAGCGATCAAAAGCACAGTACAGCAGTTCGTACGAATTCTTGTACTGTTAAACGTTATGGTTGTATTGATAGTGTACTTTCGTACATTACATCGAACATCATCTGAGTTGACTACAATAATGGGTGGAAAAAGCAGAGTGTATGTATGCACTTTGCCTTTGTATGTCGTTGGGCCACATGGCCACATGGGTCTGTCCTTCAACCATCTGGTTGATGCCAGCGTTGAAGGGCAGGCGTCACTTTGGATTTCCCTCCGTCCTTGCACATCACACCCGCTCCATGCTTCCGTACGGCTCTGAATCCCGAGGTAACGTTATCGAAGGCATGCCCAGTACTCGCAACCCTTGACCATCACCTCTCTAGAGCTCAAGGCCAACGCTGTGCGCATTTCGCGCAAGTCCACCGAGTACTCGTGGAAGCAAATCGCCGTGGGTGCATCGCTCACGGTCATGGGGGTGGGCTACTGCGCGACGTTGCACAGCATGATGAACCAGCAAGCTGCAACCTTGTCGGCCATGCAACAACAAATGTACGGCCACCTCTAGCCTACCTTGTTAACACTTTTGAATGACACGCATGTCCATATTATGTATCTTGTAGGACCTCGATGTCGTCCAAGAGCAATAGCCACGCCGGCGCGAACGTCATCCTCCCGTTCAACCCGAAGGTCAACACCGCCAAACAACCAGCTCAACCTTTGGCGGCGCTACCGCACAAGTATGCTGTGGACCACGTCACGCCGCGCAAGACGCAGGACTTGCGCGGCACGTGCTGGGATTTTGCTACGATCTCCGTCCTCGAATACACGTACCGCCAACAAGGCATCGCCAACGGGTGGTTGGCCCCTAACACGTACGTGTCGTTGTCGGAACAAGCTTACGGCGCCGATTTGCTCCGGCTGTGCACGACCGTGGACAAGAACAAGTGTTACTTCACGGCGACTCAAAACACCACCGAGGGGGGCTTCGTGCTGGAGCTGCCCCTCCTGGCCAAAGACATCTCCATCTTCCCAGATGCTGTCTGCCCCTACGTGGCCGCGCCTGGCAGCGACACCGTATGCCCCGGCCAAACTGAAGCCGCCAAGAAAACCAACCCCCTCAAGGTCACCGTCAACAAGTACTCGACCCTCATCGACGCCGACGACATCAAGCGCGCGTTGGTTACAGACAAGCGGTACAAATACGACGACTACACTAGCCATATTTGGTTCATTATTCTATTTCCATTCCATATTTGGTGCATTATTCTATATCCATTGCAATGGAGCAATCAATCGTGCTTTCAGCCATAAAGTTGGATTTTGGTGCTGATTTACCAAATTCATCGTCGATTTCTGATGCTGAATTAAAAAAGTGTCGCTCTGCACACTACTTTCAGTCATACACTAATTCGATGTGGAATGATTGATAGAGAATTTGATTGGCTACTTGATTCGTGTTCTGTGTTTTGATTGGTCGATCGATGGTATGGATTGAGCTCCCCACTTCAATTTCGTATCGACTTGATAATATGTATGGGAGCCAAGTTCTGAAGATGACTTGACCATATTCCGTCATGCAATGTGCAGTGGGCCCAGTTGATGTATCCTTGATGCGTTAGTGTATATATATATATGTATGATCCTTGGTGCATAGTCTAGTATGTGGGGGGCTACCTTCCTATCTAACTTGTCCAAATATACTCCGACAAGACATGCCATTCAAGGGGTTCATTGTCGTGCTCTATTCGTAGGGCCATGGCATTGAGCACGGAGATGGCTGTGCTGACCCACTACCAACCGTGTGTGGGGGATTTGACCAAGGACCCTCGCTGTGACGTGGCATCCCCACAGTGCACGCTATGTCCGCCCAACTCGTTCCAAACTGCGTGCTGCATTCCCGTGGGCGAAGGTGAAGATTACAACATGGACGGTGAGTTCATTGCGCACTACGGTATGGAGAGCGAAGGGGGCCACGCAATGACAATCGTCGGATACAACGACAACTACCGCACCCAGGACGGGGCCACGGGCGGGTACATCCTCAAGAACTCGTGGTGGGACGGAGTTGATCCAGTGCTGGGACCCAAGCACGCCCGCGGCAGCCACAGCATCCGGTACTGGCTGCAGACGATCACGGCATTCGAAGAGCGCGCCGCGTGCCCGAACTCGGCCAACCCAAACAACTGGTACTCGTGCCAGGGTAGCACGGGGGTGATTCAAACCAACTCGTTTGCGGGGCCGACCAAGTCGGTGGTAGCCAACGCCAGCCTAGACATGTGCTTGACCGAAGCAGTTCGTCTGGACGCGCAGAGCCAAATCGCCCCGCTGACCCTCCTCTGCCTGGACAAGACCAAGTGCGACCCGTCGCTCGCGTACTACAGACGCAACCTCACGAGTGTCGGTGATCACTTCAACGTGCTGTGTCTGTTTGAGTACAACTCGACCAAAGGCGCAGTGTCGCATGATGTGTGCTTTCCCCCGATGCTGCTTATGGACATTGCCCATACGCTTCAACCGGTGGCGTCGGAACTGCGAGAAAACGACCCTGACCACTGCGGGTTCTACTTTTACCCGTATGACAAGCAGCTCCAGCAGTACCAACGAGGGTGGGAGATGACAGTGGACAACTTGGATGTGACGTGGGCCGCGCAGTCGTACGCGGCCAACGCCGCCAAGTTCCCCCACCTGGACTACTCGCTCGTGAAAGCGTCCACCAAGACCCAGCACGCCAACCCCATCTCTGGCCCGTTCCCCATTGTCGGCGCTTAACCACCAGTCGTCTTGTTTGTGGTGTGGTTGTAATATATGAGAACCATCCAGCATCGCCCATGTTAAAATGACAATACTGCTGAGCAAAACAACACCAATTTATGTATTACTTCGAAGTAATAGTAAGCTTACTGTAGTCGGAGCAGTTCCACTAGAAATACTGGAGTGACCAGCACAAATTATGTGTTCAAGCGTCTTCATTCTGCCCCTGTACTCTTATTATCGCATGGTCATTCAAAGTAGTCAAACCCAATAAATATATTTGGACTTTTGTGCTGATTTGCCAAATCTATCGATTGACTCACAAATAAAGTTTGTGACAGTTCGTGAAGTCCCCCACTGTTTGTCTTTTCTGTCGTCCAGTTTCACATCATCACACACTAATTCGGATGTACAATTGGTCGAAGAGTAGATTTGATTGGCTAGTTGATTCTTGATCTCGGTTTTGATTAGTCAATCGATTATCTGCTGATTTGGTTAATCTGCTCATTCGATTGAGGCCCCCCACACCAATTTCGAATCGACTTGACAATACTGTACTACTTACAGTACTGTACTCAATGGAAGTGCATTTCTACGACAAAACCAACATTCCTGCTGAAACGATGTCATCGCAATCCCACCATGACGGAACCGTTTCATAATGAAACCGTTCCATCGGCGATTTGATTGCACGTCATCAGGCACGATAACAAGACCAAAGCACAGAACTGTACCAAAGGTAGATACAGGAATATCGAAAATAACGTTCCTGTAATCGATTGTATTGACGCGTTTCAGGGTGTTTTGCTAGGCGCATGCGATCTCTGCTGCTTTGAGTGGCGTCGTTACAAAATGGCGTTGAGTGAGAATTGCGCTGTCGAGTGGGTATCCAAAGGTCATTGTACCAACATGGGTACTGTACGACATTCGTAAGTGCATACGTGGTGTCGATCATTGCGTCATTTGACCAACGACGCCACCAAGAAACCATGCACATCCGATCACTGGTCATCTTGCTGTGGACAACCGTTGCGGTCGCGTCTAGTGGCGACAATGACAAATGCGGGCACGATCACTTGATTGATCGGTTTATGGTACCTTGGAGTTTCTGCGGGCTTGACCTAAACAACTAACTTTCCTTCGCCGTAGAACTCGATGGACCCTGCTTCAATGCAGAACCATCAGATCTTGGCCGACGTGACCCCACACGACGACGGTCATAACGCCCGTCGATCGTTGAGCGCGGCAACATACCAACCACTTCGTATCGCGTTTGACCTCTCCAAGCTACACACGTAAAGGATCCGTACACATCACTTTGGCTGGATGATTTCAATCTTTCCACAACTATATGTGGTTACTAGGGATCATGGGTTTGCGTGCACTCGTGTGGGGGACATTGTGTCACTCGACGGGAAAAACTACAATTGCACGGCCAACGATATCCTCACCGATGTACATACCTTGGATTGCATTAATAATAATGTCGACGACCCCTTCCTCACTGACAAACATGCTAATCCCCTCTTGATATTATTTCATTCAGGACAAATTGGATTTTATCACGGGCATGTTGCTGCCCCAAGCACAAGACTACTTTGGCTCGATCTTGTCGGTGCCCCCTGTTCAGACGCTGAAGGTCGTGCCCATCCATTGCTCTATGAATTGTTCCTGGAATAAATCTCCAATGTTTATATGTTTGTAATAGGTGGACGGTTTAAAATGCGGCAACCCCACGGACTGGGCGTGTTGTACTGGCAACTTTCCCGCTCAGTTTTCAACGCCCGGCACGCCCAACGCCGACTTTTTGCTGCACGTGACGTCGCGACCGGTCGCTGCGGGCATTGTAGCGTGGGCGATCCCTTGCAACACCGATCAATATGGCCGCCCCGTGTCTGCGCAAGTGAACTTTGGCCCCCAAAAGTATGTAATTTCATACGCTCTAGGTTCAATTCAGTGTTGACATCCGGTTTTGTAGGCTTAGCGCCGACCCCGCCAAACGTATGGCGCAGCTTGGCACGATTTTGCATGAACTGTCGCACGCGCTGGGGTTCTCTGCCATGCTGTTTGGGTCGTACAAACCACGAAATACAGGGGAGGGACCCCCCGTGCAGCAAACTAACGGCCCCAACGGAACGAAAATCACCCACCTCGTCACCCCCAAAGTCAAACAGTTGGCCCAAGAGTACTTTGGCTGCTCCACGGTGCCGGGAGGGGAGCTCCAGAGCGACAACGCCCTATCGTATTCCAGCCATTGGGCCAAGCGCCTGTATCTGAACGGTAAAACTCAACCGTGCCAATCCTGAGGCTATCTTCTCCTACCTCTAACACCAAGGGGGGGTATAATAGAGTATATGATGGCCACGACCAGCGCCAACCCCATCTATTCCGCGTTCACCCTTGCCGCCTTTGAAGACAGCGGGTGGTACCAAGTCAACTATACCCGAGCGCAGGTAGGCAGTCTTTTCAATATTGGCACTAACTAATCAACGAACCAACTAGCCGCTGCGATACGGCCATTTGGCGGGGTGTGCGTTGGCCACGTAAGGAAACATAACATTTTTACATTCATGGAATGACATGTTGTAGGGGCCGATGTACCGAGTGGAAGGCCCCGCTGTGCTACAGATCGTCGGATCAAGATTGTACCCCCGATTACACGAGCAAAGGCGTGTGCAACTTGGGCCAGTTTGCATCACCGATCCCAGCTGCGTTTCAGTACTTTAACAGCCCCACGATTGGTACGAACGTCCCCTTGAGTTGACATGGCGATCGATCACAGGGGTTCTCTGTTCATGTTTGATCGCTAACACTAAACAGGTGGCACCGATGACAAGGCCAACTATTGCCCTCGGTACGTTCCCCTCAGTGGGTCGGACTGCCGCGGGTTTGGCGCCACCGTACGTCTCCTGTTGACAAGTCTACAATATATATATAAAGCAACCTGACACGACTGTAGCCATCGGCTCGCGGATCTCTTTTGGAGAAGATTGGGCTCACGAGTTTATGTTTCCGGGGCGCCCTCTCCAAGCCTTCATCCTCACCGTACGTTGGGCTATTTTATTGCCCTGAACTGGGAACAGGTTTCCTCGTTACTGTACTCCCACTAACTACTATTTTATAGGCCGCCAGCGTCGACGTTGTCGTCGTACTGCTTTGCCGTCCAAGGGTGCACACCCACAGCGCTACAAGTCGCCGTGGGCACTTCGGTCGTGTCTTGTCCGTTCAATCAATCGTCGATTCAAGTTGCGGTGGAGGACGAGACGGGAGCCAACTACACTGGCACCATCACGTACGTCTATAGGACAATCATGTAGCCGAAGTTTCAGTTCATGAATGATTGATGGAAAATCACGTGCAAAGGTGCCCACGCAACCCCCGAGACTTGTGCAGTGTCAATGTTTGCTCCAATATGGGTGTGTGGACGTCAGCAGGATGTGTGTGCACCGCTGGGTACACGGGCGTCGACTGTTCAGCATTGGAATGTCCTCGCAACGACGTGACAAGCCAAGTGTGTTCAAATCAAGGCACGTGTGTGGGGGGGGCGTGTCAGGTAAGGTAGTCTTGTGTCTAAGCCATCCATTCAGATATATAATAATTTGCATTATGATGATGATTGTGGTGGTGGTGGGGTGTCTTGACCTTCGCAGCACTATGTAATTGAGTACAGAAATGATCCGAGGAGTGGTAGTAGCTGGTTCGTAAACAACGCTATATTCACTGACCTGCCTGTTTTCTTTTTGCTAGTGCGATGAAGACGAGGCAACTGGGGTGGCATGCTCTCGCCCGCCTCTCAAAAAGTCGATGGTCGTAGCGTTGATGGACCTACAGCATCGTGTCCTGCTCCTCTGTGTACGAACCATCATTTGGCATGCTATTCCGTCCAAATTCCTGGTTGTCTCTAGAATAATGACATCTCGTTGTGTCTTGTAGTGTTTTTGTGCTGTGGCTGGGGGTGTTGTGGCGATGTACAGAAGTCGGAGGGCCCGGCGCGCGTCTACTTTTCCCAAGCAAACCAAAATGCTCTACTTGCAGGTATGTATAAGTATGTGTGTGAGCTATCGATCATCCAAGACATTATACATGTGAATCGCCAAGAATCGATTTATTTCGGATGTCTGTTTGTTGGCATTGCTTATATGCGTGATTTGCTCATCATGTTGATTTCAATCTCAGGGCGGTCAAGACAAGGGGTCGTACGGCACAACCCAAGATACGTTTGTCCTGTCCATCAACAATGAAGTGTAAAGCCGCATGTAATGACCACCACGAATTTATTGTCTCGTATCGACCTTTGGAAGTTTTATTAAACCAAGAGAGGGGGGGCGTGTCCCCCCACAAGATGAGCATACTGTTCCACTTCCAGGCCCAAATTACCACAGCGGTTTCGAACATGACGAGCTGTTTATCCATCCAGAAAAGCGAGGGGTGGCTCACGTCCTCATGGACTTCCTTTTTAGAGATATATGGAGAGAATTCGGTGTAGACCTGCCAGCAATTGACAGGAAACCGCTCCACGTCTCCCGTGTTGATGTGAATGAAACATGAAATCGAAAGAGTTTGAGCCTGTCAACAGTTGCGACTTACGGCAGCGTTGTCATGGTTATGGTGGAGAGGAGTTGAGTAGCACACGAGTTGCATTGTATGTTGGTTTGTATGTGGCAAGAAAAAAAATGAACAAAAAACGACACTTACAACTTCTCATATCACCCGCCTCCGCTCACACTGTCTTGGAATAGCAACAGTGGACGTTCATCAACAGCCACGACCCGGACTTGCGTCCACAGCACGTGCGCCGACATCCCGAGTCAACGAAGGGGGTCACTTCCGATCCTCAAAGTTATTGGTATCGTCTACTTTGGAAAACAAAGTAAAGATGACTGCACTATAGAAATGATCCTGTTCAAGTACGGTCTTACTTATCATAAAGCTCGCAAGGTTCAATAGCTACAATCCAAACTCCCGTGAGTGAAATAATGATTTATACGCCCAATCATCTCACTGCAATCACTCCACCACATGGTGTTTTACCCCAGTTACCCCCCCCCTCCTTCACCAACCACCTTATCAAATCAATGCAAATGCTAACTTGGTAGCTATAGCATGCTAGTGTATATGTACAATAAAGATGATGGGACTCGTATCCCTTTAACCACTACTGGTACGACTTTGTACTTACTAGTAACCCGACGACATGTTGCACTAAGAGACGACTTTGCCCCCCGAGAGATTGAAGTGGTGGTGGCAGCAGATGGCATCGCCAAAACGTTCTTGTGGTGTTGCAGTTGACAAAAGGGAGTTTGTATGGGGCCAAAAAGGAGCTAGCACTTCCTGGTTTCGATCCAGGGACCTTTGGGTTATGAGCCCAACACGCTTCCTCTGCGCCAAAGTGCTGTGGTATGCTATTTATCTTCCATCAAATAATATGTCTACTAAAACTGTCAAAACTATAAAACCTTGTACTACTTCAGTATAATATGTTATTTTTTGTTCCCCCTGCCTGTTTGGATTATATTCATGTGCACGTGCAATTACAATGGATATATGCTTATAGTAGCCCCCGGCCATCTTAGCTTTTGCCTTTTGCCTTGGGCATAGAAAGAAAGCTATAGCTGCTGCCTTAACGCTTGGAAGAAAGCCATGATCTAAGTAAGCACAAGCATGGAGGCAGGGAACGAGGAAAAGTCTGCACGGATATTTGTCTTGTTTATGAGCTGGCGTCGGACGGGCTGGACGTGTAGTCGAGCTGCTTCTTGCTCTCGTGGTAGTCGCGCACGCTTTGAAAGTACGGATGGGCCATCGCCTCCTTGGCCGTCAGCCGTTCCTGGTGGTCAAACTTGAGCAGTCCGTCCAAAAAGTCGAGCGCGTCCGCCGACACCAAGTGCTTGTTGTCGGGGGTGACGAACTTGTCCCAGGGCTTCTTCGAGTGCGTGCCGAGGATGCCGTCGTACTGCGGGTCCAGCTCCAAGTCGTATGTCGTTAGGTAGTCGAAGAGCTCCTCTGTGCCTTTGACTTTGGCGATCTTGACCAGTTGGTCGCAGTTGTCGTGGCCGTGGAAGAACGGCTCCTTCTTGAAGATCATACCGGCCAACACACATCCCACGCTCCACATGTCGAGCGAGTAATCGTACTCTTGCATGTCCACGAGCAGCTCCGGGCCCTTGAAGTAGCGACTGGCCACTCGAACGTTGTATTCTCGGTTCGGGTGGTAGAATTCGGCGAGACCAAAGTCAATGAGCCGCAACTGGCGCTTCTCGTGGTCAATCATGACGTTGTGGGGCTTCACGTCGCGGTGCATGATGCCGTTGGCGTGGCAAAAGTCGAGGGCTTTCAGCAGCTCAAAGATGTAGTACCGAATGTCAAAGTCCGTGAGCGTCGGGTACAGCGTCTTAAAGTCGGCGTTGTTGATGTACTCAAACACGAGCGAAGGGGTCTTCGACTGCGGGTCGCGCACGACGTCGAGGAGCTGGACGATGTTGGTCCCGCCGCTCAGGTTCTGCAGGATTTTGATCTCGCGCTTGATCTTCTTCTTCTTGACAGGCTTGAGGATCTTGATGCCGCATTTGCTTCCGTTGGCGGCGTTGACGCCTTCAAACACTTCGCTGTACTTGCCGCGCCCGATCTTGCGGCACACCTCGTACGCGTAAGCATGGAGGCAGGGAACGAGGAAAAGTCTGCACGGATATTTGTCTTGTTTATGAGCTGGCGTCGGACGGGCTGGACGTGTAGTCGGGCTGCTTCTTGCTCTCGTGGTAGTCGCGCACGCTTTGAAAGTACGGATGGGCCATCGCCTCCTTGGCCGTCAGCCGTTCCTGGTGGTCAAACTTGAGCAGTCCGTCCAAAAAGTCGAGCGCGTCCGCCGACACCAAGTGCTTGTTGTCGGGGGTGACGAACTTGTCCCAGGGCTTCTTCGAGTGCGTGCCGAGGATGCCGTCGTACTGCGGGTCCAGCTCCAAGTCGTATGTCGTTAGGTAGTCGAAGAGCTCCTCTGTGCCTTTGACTTTGGCGATCTTGACCAGTTGGTCGCAGTTGTCGTGGCCGTGGAAGAACGGCTCCTTCTTGAAGATCATACCGGCCAACACACATCCCACGCTCCACATGTCGAGCGAGTAATCGTACTCTTGCATGTCCACGAGCAGCTCCGGGCCCTTGTAGTAGCGAGTTGCCACTCGAACGTTGTATTCTTGGTTTGGGTGGTAGAATTCGGCGAGACCAAAGTCAATGAGCCGCAACTGGCGCTTCTCGTGGTCAATCATGACGTTGTGGGGCTTCACGTCGCGGTGCATGATGCCGTTGGCGTGGCAAAAGTCGAGGGCTTTCAGCAGCTCAAAGATGTAGTACCGAATGTCAAAGTCCGTGAGCGTCGGGTACAGCGTCTTAAAGTCGGCGTTGTTGATGTACTCAAACACGAGCGAAGGGGTCTTCGACTGCGGGTCGCGCACGACGTCGAGGAGCTGGACGATGTTGGTCCCGCCGCTCAGGTTCTGCAGGATTTTGATCTCGCGCTTGATCTTCTTCTTCTTGACAGGCTTGAGGATCTTGATGACGCATTTGCTTCCGTTGGACGCGTTCACGCCTTCAAACACTTCGCTGTACTTGCCGCGCCCGATCTTGCGGCACACCTCGTACGCGTCCTGGTCCCCCCAGCTCACGTTCAAGTTCTCGTAGTCCCAATACTCACGCGGCCGCGACTCGCACACGTCGGCATACACTCTGGCGCGGGACATCGTCGGCGGTCGAGGTTATTTGGATGGTGGACTACTGGGTGGGGAAGGAAATCCAGTAAAGTTCGATTAGCCAGTCGACTTATCCGGATGCTTATAGGAGTCGTACTTTAACGAAGGGGTTTCGGGGTTCCGGTGTTTCGGGGTTTATATGGTGCACGGGGTTATTTGGCATTTGCCCCAAATAAACGGTGATGACGATGCCATGTCGCTTGAATATGCAATGGAAGGAAGCGAATTATATACAATTTAGGGAGCGCTTCATATTGGAAGTAAGAAATGTTGTTTATGTTCATTCCATGATTCTCGTAGTTAGTCGTTGTTAAATTACATTTTGAAGCCATCACGACGCTTTCTTGCCTTGGACACGATCGGGCACGACTTGGAAGTCGAGAGAAGCGGCGGTCGCTTGTCTTTTACTTTAATTAGTCTGTCGTCTTCCTAGGATTTCCAATAATACTAGTATTTAGGGTCATTTATAGCAACAACTAAGTACTATACAGTACCTCTTGTCGACGAGCGCGAAACAACTTGAGCTTTCGTTTACTGGCCTGCAATGCCGTGTGGGTCTATATGTACGTGGTCAATATCTTCCGGGAATGGTCACTTTTTAATCCTAAAAAACATGCTACTTACGGGGTCTTGCTTTTGGCGAAGCAGGCCGAGCTCTGCCGTGGGGTACACCCCTAGAATAGGCATATTCACACACAATTCACTTTGACGCAGTGTGCAGATATCCATACCCAACGCCACGAGCGTCTTGACTTCGTCCGTCGCTGCTCGCTCCACTTGCCAAATTGCTTCTAACATATCCTTTTCTGCAATAATTTCCAAGGGCATGGCATCATCATCTTGGGACGCATTCAACGATGAACAAGTGTCGGGGTTCCACGCCGAGAAATGGGCAAGCAGAGCACGGTTCGACCCTTCAGTGGCCATCTTTTGTAGAAACGAGACCAACGTCGTTCGAAGTTGCTGGTTTAAGAGCTCCTACAGCCTCCATTCATGAGCAAACATTTATAATACTATTGCGTCGACTAAAAGCCTCTGATTTCCCCAACTACTACCTCTAATAGAGAGCTCGAGTGTTTGATCTGACGTATCTCCATGGCGGGGGCCATCACGTCGTCACACCTTCCGCGGTGCGTGGAGTGGCCACCCAGGACCTGCACGCGCTCTTCGGGTGTCAAGAATGGCTACAATGATTACAGCTTAATATCCTCCACCTTGTCGACAGACTGCGTACTTCAAGGCGGTGGTGGGCTGCACACAGATGACTCGTGGTACCTTGGGCTGCTGCTTCGTCCAGGCACGATCGCCAACTGCAAAACGAGCCCAATATGGACGACGATGCAGCCAAGGATGGCAAGTCACCCTTCGTGACTCCAGTGGAGATGGCACATTGACCAGCGTTCGTTCCGGTGGTAGTGTACTGAACGACCAACGCGGACGGGGCGTCTGCACTTGCACTGGGTGTGTGTGACTGCAGCAGCAAGCCAGGGGTGTCCACGATACAATACGCCGTGCCTTGAAACCCAAAGCTCGGTCGATAGAGTGCATACAAGCTCCCTTGAGCCATCATCACCTACATGGCAACAACCAACCGGTCTTTCAAAATGCCATACCACAAATAGGTACAGCTAGCTAGCTAGCTAGCTTCTCCTTTTCGTAACTTCATCCATGTATAGTTGTTGGTGCCGCCGCTTCTAATGCAACGTACGCTAGGGTCGCGGATGACATACGTCGCGATCAACGCGCGTACTGCGTCCGACGATATGGGGCGAAGGATGCTTTCCAAGAGGGGGTTCGAACTACTAGTAGTACTACTAGCTCGGGTGTCGTGTGGCACCGCCATATACAAGTGCGACAGCACATGCGACCCAAACGTTTCCGGGGGGTACCGCAGGCGCAGGTTTGTTTGCAAGTCGGGGGCGAGGGTCCCCCGCATGTCGATGTACGTGGCCGTTTGAATCAGATGCGATACGTTTGCTGGGGCAAAGTGCATACTCGTTCGTTCGGGAGAGGGACCAACACTCTCGTCGTCCCCACGATTCAAAGCCGACGACGGCGGGCTGGTGCAACGGACAGCTCGCACCACGTGGTCGTGTGAAGTGACGTGGGTGATTCGAAACGGTCCTGCAAAATCCCGTAGGGGTTCCTTCGCTGGTGAGTTTGCTGGGTAGCGTGCGGCGAGGGCGGTGGTTTGGGCCACGGCGGCATGTTGCTGGAGGTTTGGCGAGGCAATCCGGACAAGGGACGACAGTGGCTGTGGTTCAGATGACAAAACAGTAGTATGCGGCGGACATGTGTGTTGGAAATCGTCGAGGCAATAGTAAATGCACCCGTTTGTAGGTGCTTGGAGCGGTCTAACACAAACAAAGGGGATGTTTTGAACGCGACGACGACGATCCATTGAGTTGAGTGTACGAATATAGCTGTAGGAGTGGTTCTAGTAAATACTGTAGTAATAGTAGTAGTAGCAGTAGCAGTAGTAGTAGTAGTAGTACCCGTGAGGCACTAGGGGGAGCCATCGAATCGTGGACGAACTCAATGGCGTGGTGCACGTGAATCCGTCCGGAAACAGCGGATGAGGTGTCGGCGGCGGTACTTTGACCTTGCTCTTGGGTCGCTTGAAAGCACTCGGTCTGTGCAATGCGCTCCACTCCCCAACCAATCGATGCAGCGATTGAAACTGGCTCGCCATGCATGTGTCGTCAACGCCCCCGATGTGTCGGGGGACCACGAGCCGCGTTTTGCTGTCTAAACCGGAGGAGGCGTTAGCATCATTTCGCATGATCGTCGGCGAATGGCGTACTCGAAGAAACGGGAAACTTGGATGGACTAGTAGTAGTAGCAGTGCCAATTCTCTGGTTCACTGCTAATATGCGAGTGATGGTTAGCTCGGGCGATGCCAGTGTAGCGCTAGCCAGTGGCAGATCCAGCTGTGCTGATAAGTACGGAGCCAGGGCGGTCGTCCAGGCCACAAACGACGGGTTCTCGACATAAGTAGCGCTTGGAGTGAGCATTTTGGGAGGAATGTCCACCAGCGACGCAACACTGAAGTGCTCTTCGCACCGTTTGGCAAAGATGGCCCACGCATAGTTCAGCTCACACGTAGCCACCTAAAGATAGAGTTCATTAGGAGCTCGGCTACGCTTGAAGGTGTCATATACTACCATCGAGTCGACACTGGATTCCTGCGTCTCAACGCGCTGCTGGGCCCGTGCTATCGCCTTTTGGATCTCGCCCAAGCATTCAAAGAGGAGCACTTGCAGCCGTCGGGTTGCCATAGCTTGGACGGTAGCCACGTGGTGGTCCATAGCCCGTACGTCCTCGTCGACCGTGAGTTGGATTTCCTCTGCATGAAGATGCACGTGTTCCCGCCGCATTCGAATGTACGCAAGACGCTCTTCTGCCAAGGCCCGCCGTCGCTGATGTTCCCGTCGCAGTTGACCAACCACCGCGACACCTTCTCGTTTGATTTCACTTTCCACGGCGCGATGGACCGCGGGATGCTTCCGAAGCTCCATGACCATGCAACCTACAGACGGCGCTGGCGGCGGTACCTTCTCAGAGGACGAGCTGCTGAGCGCCGCCTTGAGCTTGGCAAAAGTCTCGGAGAACGCATCCGACTCCGCCACGCTCAAGTAGATCATGAAGCGGTGCAAGTAGCCAAGATACCGAAAATTTTCGTTGCTCCAACACCTACTGTACCATACTGTACTCAATATTTCCGTTCAATCATATCTTATTGTATTCAAATCTACGTCCTTTATATACCATCCGACGTTTCGATATTTTGCGCAATAAGCACCATGTCCCGCTCCAGAGTCTACGCTGACGTGTGTGCCTCGCGTCCTCGAGGGTATTGGGACTACGAGAACTTTGACGTGGTGTGGGCAGACCAGGACGCATACGAAGTGCGTCGGAAGGTGGACCGAGGCAAGTACAGCGAAGTGTTTGAAGGTGTCCACGTCGCCAGCGGCAGTCGATGCTGTGTCAAGATCCTCAAGCCTGTCAAGAAGAAGAAGATCCAGCGGGAGATCAAGATCCTGCAAAACCTGCGCGGAGGGCCCAACATCATCCAGCTCCTCGACGTCGTGCGCGACGTCCAGTCGAAGACTCCGTCGTTGGTGTTCGAGTACATCAACAACTACAACTTTAGGTCGCTGTACCCGACACTCACAGACTTTGACATTCGGTACTACATGTTCGAGCTCCTCAAAGCCCTCGACTTTTGCCACGCCAACGGCATCATGCACCGCGACGTGAAGCCCCACAACGTCATGATTGACCACGAGAAGCGCCAGTTGCGGCTCATTGACTTTGGTCTCGCGGAATTCTACCACCCAAACCAGGAATACAACGTTCGAGTGGCATCTCGGTATTACAAGGGCCCGGAGCTGCTCGTGGACATGCACGAGTACGATTACTCGCTCGATATGTGGAGCGTGGGATGTGTGTTGGCCGGCATGATCTTCAAGAAGGAGCCGTTCTTCCACGGCCACGACAACTGCGACCAACTGGTCAAGATCGCCAAAGTCAAAGGCACAGAGGAGCTCTTCGACTACCTAACGACATACGACTTGGAGCTGGACCCGCAGTACGACGGCATCCTCGGCACGCACTCGAAGAAGCCCTGGGACAAGTTCGTCACCCCCGACAACAAGCACTTGGTGTCGGCGGACGCGCTCGACTTTTTGGACGGACTGCTCAAGTTTGACCACCAGGAACGGCTGACGGCCAAGGAGGCGATGGCCCATCCGTACTTTCAAAGCGTGCGCGACCACCGCGATGACGAACTCTCCGTGCCGATGGCTGACGTAGCCATGTCGGATTCATATTGATGTTCACGTTGCCATATGACTGATAATTCGGATCTGATGAATTTGCACTTCGATGTACTAGTTAGTAGGTGATATTTGTATGACGTGGCACTCTGACAGACGAGAAATAGTTTGTCTCAATGTCGTGTAACGTTACTGTACTACAGAGTAGATTATGTGTGTGCAGTCCGAGGCAAATCTATAGTAACGCTACTAGACCTACCGGTAGTACATACTGAGTATCCGGATACATGTGAACGGCCATTCATTCACTCACTTACACTTATCCGGTTTACATCCGCCACTCGGGCTCCCATTCTTCACCGAGTTCGGTTGACATGATTAGACGCTGCTTGATGGTAGTGGCGATAGTTGTTGGACTAGGTAATGCCAATATCGTGGCCAGAAAGTGCTTTCAAAGCAGCGAGTTCACTGGAGCGGCGCCACTCGTTCTCGTTTGAGAAATTCTACAGTACCTGGTAATCTCCATACATTCTTCAAATCCGGTGAACATTTGAAAATTTTGGGTTGACTGTGAGCGGCTGAGTTTATTTGACGAATACTACACACGCAGCGTTTGGAAGAATGGCAATATAGCCAAGATTCTTCCCTTTTGATTGGTACAAATTTCACACAAATCCAATGATTGGTCATAAAACCACTACTATTAATAGTATGTGGCAAGCATCAAACGTGCCAGTGATTTAGTGATTTGGGACGGAGTGGTACTTGTTTACCAGAGTACTACTAAGTTAGTACTGTATTAATACAGTAACGTTAGTAGCAATTGGAAATCACCGGATAAGAAGGGTTGCGATTTGCTGGATCAACTTTATCCGTATACGTGCATTGCCATGAAATACCAGTACAGGAGTGATTTTGAAGCAATTGCAAAGTTGACAAGTCTCTAGCATGCGCCATTGGAGCCACCCCAGTCAAGACTACCATATTGTCTTCATGTAACGTTATTCGTACAGCCGCTTATGACAACTGGTTCCAAAGTCCAGTTGCAATGGATCGCAAGTTGCTGCTACACACCTCGTTATGACGTTCTTGAACTGTAGCCACCGTGAGGGCTCGAAAATATTATTTCATTTTTATCATATATTAACTGGATGTTTGTATCAGCATTGAACAATGGGATTCTATTTTTCCTGTGCTTTTGCGCCGTTGGCTAATCCAGAAGTAACACTGGCCAAGGTGCGCTTCTTCCTCGCCGTCCTCGTTCGGTTCGTAGCAACAGTCTCGAATACTCTACATCTACATCGTCGTACTACTACTACTATCTTGCGTAGTACTAGTATTATACTAGTATACTCATGACGTTTTCTCGCCAATCCACGGGCAACGACAGCAGCTGCCTGGACACGACCGTGGCCTTGCCTTTCGTTGTAACGTCCACTGTCGATCGTTGTAACCATGTTGCTAAGCCATGACCGTCTAGGCCAGCAAAGTCGACCAAGTGGTGCAAGTGCGACCGATGAAAGCGCCGCGATCGTTGCCTCGGTCCACGTTGCCGCCGCCCGCCGCCACCACATTAATCCATGCGTTCCAACGCACCGTCCAACGCTATGGCTACCAGAAAGCAGTGCATGTCAAGTGGCAGGACAAATGGCATTCCCTGACATGGCGGCAATACTACACCCGTGTCCAAGAGTTCATGAAGAGTTTGATCCATGTCGGCATCCAGCCCCACGATGTGGTTGCCATCTCTGGCCTCAACGCAATCGAGTGGAACGTCGCGTACCTTGGCACGATCATGGCTGGCGGCGCCGCGACGGGTACTGCATTTCATCCTGTCTTTCGGTTGATGATGTTCACGAGAGGCTAACAACCAAGGGATGCATCCAGGCATGTACGTCAACTCGTCCAAGGATTTGAGTTTCTTTATCGCACATCACTCGGAGGCGCGAGTGATTGTGTGCGACAGCGTCGATAGCGTCGAGAAGTTTGTGTCCATTCAGCCGTCGTTGCCCCATCTCAAAGCGATCGTGTTGTGGGGCCACGACCTCCCATCTACGTATGCATCATCCTTGCCAGTGTACTGTTGGCAACCCTTTTTGGAGCAAGGTATATATATATATATATATACCACCTTCAAAGTTTCCACGATATATAGATCGCATGCCATAAATGCACAGTGCACTTTGCCCATTCATACATACATATATATATATATCATGTGCAATCGCTTCTATTATATATATATATATATATATTTACTAAACTCCATCAAAGACTTCACGATATATAGACCGCATACCATTGTGCACAGTGCACTTTGCCCATTCATAAATATATATATATATATATGCAATCGCTTCTATTATATATATATTTACTAAACTCCATCAAACATTCCACGAAAATATAGATCGCATTCCATTGTGCACAGTGTACTCTGCCTTTTCTTTCTTTTATATCTGTACATGCAATCACTTCTATTTTTCTCACTATCAATGATATATATAATTCTTCTTTTTCCTAGGACTGGCCATCACCAAAGGCACCGTGCGACGACGTATGCAGGCGATTACCGCGGGCCAGTGCGCGTCGATCGTGTACACGAGCGGGACGGGGGGCACCCCCAAGGGCGTGATGATTTCGCACGACAACTTTTGCTTCAACGCGTGGGCGATGGAAGCGGCCGCCACGTCATCGCAGCTGTCCCACCGCGACGTCCTCGTGTCGTACTTGCCATTGGCCCACGTAACCGCGCAGTTGGTGGACATCGTGCTGCCGCTGTGGGTCGGCTACGAAGTGTACTTTGCCCCAGTGGTGCGGAATGGTCCCCGCCTGGGCAAAACCCTCAAAGAAATCCGCCCCACGCGATTCTGCGGCATCCCGAGCGTATGGGACACCATGGCGGTCAAGTTCCGCGAGGTGCAAGGCGCGACATCCGGGCTCAAGAAGCACCTTGTCTCATTTGCCACGTCCCGAGCATGGAAGAAGACTGTGCAAAGTCAGTACGGGAGCACTGGGGCGTCTCCGTGTGGGGCCGGCATCGCAGAAAAGCTCGTGCTGTCCAAGGTCAAGGCGGCGTTGGGCCTGGATCGGTACGGTGGTTACTTTCATAAACATGTGACATGGTGAAGAAAACAAAAGGGTTTTTGATGGTCGTGGGATGGGTAGATGCAAATCGTTTTCCGTGACATGGGCGCCCCTCCGCCGTGAAACCACCGAGTATTACGGCGGACTCGACATGCCGATCCTTGCGTTCTTTGGGGCGTCAGAAACCACTGGCGTCGCTACCATCAACATGCAGTACGGATGGAAGCTCCACTCTGTGGGACGCCCACTCCCCGGCACAGAAATTCGACTTCAAAAGCAGTCGACTGAAATCCTAGTCCGCGGGCGGCATGTCATGATGGGGTACGTCGGCAGGCTCTCGGTTGTTGGCTCAGTAACACTATATTCACTTTTGTACGGGTACTACGTACGTATTGTCCTTTTACCCAACATTTGAATCTTTGTGATGAATTGACAATTACTAGTATCGATCGATTATTGTTTCTATGTCAAAAGTTGTCGTGGGGTGCTTGGTATCACACTATTTCAAGTCATACACTAATTTGACGTTGATGATGGTGTCCTGCAATCTAATTGGCTCAATAGATGATTCTTCTGTATATTACTAGTAGTTGGTTGTGTCGATTCATTCTCCATTGTGTCGCTCCAGTTTAGCATAAACACAACAATATCGTGCTTTCGAGTGAAATTTCATTGTGTTGTGGCGGGGTTTCTTGTTGGAATTTAAATCGATTTGATTGGCTACTTCAGATGAGCTCAAAATTATTAACCAATCAAAACCTTCTCAATGAAATTCAACCAATCAGATCGATTGTGGATCGGTTTAGTTGGCGCGATTCGATTGCACCCCCTCCCCCAATGTGTATCAAATCGGCAATATATCCACTTACTAGTTAGTGGCTTGGCCTTGTGTGTGCGATCTAGTTTACTTATAACTGTCGTCGATTGACGATGTATGTCCGGATGATTTTTTTTTACCGGACGGAACAGTGATTGGGCGTTGTGTGACACTGTACACCTTTCTTAAAATAGGTACCTCAAGAACGAAGCTGAGACACGGTTGGTTCTAGACACGGAAGGGTGGCTGCGCTCGGGGGACGGAGGCGCCGTGGACGACGACGGGTTTTACTCGATTTCTGGACCCTTGCACGAGCTCGTAACGACGGCTGGGGGCGCCGTGATCGCCCCTGTATCGCTGGAAACTGTGCTCAAGCGCACGATTCCAATTCTGTCGCATGCGATGGTCATCGGGCAGCAGCGGGAGTTCCTTCTCGCCTTGTTTACGCTGCGCGTCGAGTCGGATGAAGCGGATCGACCGACGGACAAGCTGGAGATGTCCGTCCGGACGTTCCTGTCGTCGATTCGGTCGAATGCGACGACGTTGGCCCAAGCCCAAACGTGCCCGAAACTCGCCACGTACCTCGACTCGCAGCTCCGCCAAGTCAACAAAGCCACGAGCAAACTCTCATTTGGCAACTTTATCCAGAAGTTCGTGCTCCTTCCAAGGGAGTTTAGCGTCGAGGGAGGGGAGCTCACGCCGACGCTCAAAGTCCGCCGCCAGGCCGTCTGCGACATTCATCATGGACTGATTGAATCCACATATGCCTGAGATCGAAACGAGTCTATATGTATGTATGTACTTTAAAGTATGTAAATAGTCTAAGTGCCACAACCATTGAAAGAAGAAGAAGAAGGCAGGACCATGGGTGTTATGTAGTGTTGTTGGACGCATGCATTGGGTATGTATGCTTGATCCCCGCTTTGCCCTCGATACTATGTAGATATATATACTAACAATATCATAGCAATTTAGAATAAAGGAACCACTATTAATAGTACGTACGTATATACTAGTATATTACGATTAATAGTCACAAGAATACTCACAGTGTTATATAACACTAGTCTTGACAAACAATATCGCGTGTAGACTCGCACGACGAGCATGTCTGCAACTGGAGACGTCGTTAGAGGCGTTGGTATCCACGAGATGCTGCCGCTTGACGAGTGGCTCCACCAACCAGCAACACCATACAACCACCAGCCGCCATGGCCACGTACCCTACCTCATACGACCATGTGGACATGGTTGTCGTCAACGTCGTCGCAGACGTCGGGAGGACGAGCAGCCGTCGCATGTACTTGTTAAGGAACTTTCCGTGGGGGTCCACCGCTCGTTGGAGCGCCACAAACTCGTGAAATTTGGGGTATACTGCGGCCATGTCGGTGGCGGTGAAGTAGTTGGCTTTGCCCGTGTGGGGCCTGGCTTTGTATTTCGTCAGCACCGCTTGCATGTGTCGATGGTATCGGTCGATTTCTCCTTCGTACTCGCCGTGGTGGTATACAATAGTCGAAACCACCACCGTGCGCCGTTGGTAAAACGGAGATAGCCACAGGTTATCCGGTTCGACATATCGAAACCCCAAGAACAGCGGCACCTACCATTAAACATCAATATTATTGTATTGTTGGGCTCGAGAGCTGGAAGCCGCATGTATATATATATATATAGAGAGAGAGAGAGAGATAGAAAAAAAACGTGGCCGGGCATTACATTGGGGTCGTGACGCGGGGCGAGGTTTGCGTGAAGGGTCAACATGTCGGCCAACGCCGCCGCGTCAGAGTCCACGGGAAGCATCATTTCCATTTCCGTAAACAAGTTTGTGTTGTTCTTGCCGTCTCGACCGAGTACTTTGTAGCTATGGTCGACACACGCCTTGGTATCATCGGGCCAATTGGTCCAGTTGAATGGCGCGGGGGTTGCAGGCACTGTCGTAAACACGTTGCCCCAGCAACCACTTGTGATGGGCATCGTTGTGTTCACGCGAAGCACGACGGTCACAGCTGTGTTGGCTGGTAGACCACTGAGGTACCATTGCGTTCGCTCAAATGTCTATTAGTACACATAACTGGGTCAGACAGACCCCCCCGACACGTTGTAGCAAAATGAAAATATATTTATGGGCTAATATATCCAATTCTGAGTGGATATGATTGGCTCTTACACAAAGAACAAGTGTATGCAGCCAATTAGAAGTTTCCCTGGCGTGATTCAATCTGGAATAGAAAACCACCACGGGTGTTTTGGAAATTCACAATGTTATGAAAATTGATGTCGATAAAAAAAATATAATAATCCAAGTAGATTTCAACGAGGATCAAAAATTGACTATGGAAACTTTCATACATCGTTTTAAATTGTATTCATTTTTTTGAAACTATATAGTTCAGATATCTTTTGATTAAATAATAGTATACTTTTAGCTTCCTAGTACCGAAAATTGCCCGTGTGGCATGTCACTTACCGCAAGCAAGGCGGCGCGGTGCAGTTGAAACGTAGCCAGCGGCAGAGTAAACGTGATTTGCTCCATCGTCCAAAGGGGGACATGGCGAAACGTGAGCGTGCTCACAGCCCCCAGCACCCCCATGCCCACGCGAGCCGCGTCGAAGAGGTCGTGCCCGGGCCCGAGGTTGACTAACGTGCCATTGGCAACGACGAGATCCATTCCAATAATGTTGTCCGAGAGGCAACCGGTGTTGCCAGTGCCGTGGGTTCCCGTTTGCGTAACACCAGCTACAAACATTCAAATGAAGATGGTGGTTAGATGCTGCAGCAGTGTGGGTGGATACGTTACCTGCGGTTTGAATGGCGACGGCGCCAAGGTTGGGCAAGGCGCGGCCGTGGGCTGCCAAGTAGTCGTTGACAGCGTATAGAGGTCGACCGGCTTGGACTGTGATTGTGTCGGCGTCGAAAGCCACGACGTCCGTGTACTTGTCGAGCGTCACCAAAGTGTGCTCGGTGAGCACGATGGGAGAGAACGAGTGGCCAGCACCCGCCACGCGGACGTGTGATGCCGCCTGCACCGCACGTTGCAAGCCAGTCGCCGTCGACGGGGACACGTGCACGCGGGGATGGCACACTTGGCGGGTGTCCCAGTTCGACCAAAAGTCCCCTCCGTTGGTCGCCGCCACCGCCACGGCCACCAAGGCCACCATTGACACACGACACTTCATGCGCAAGCAAAATCTGACATGTTGGATCATAAACTATTCGTACATTCGAGTAAGAATTATGACCAATAGTATTGATTGTACGGATAAGTGCTGAATACAAAGACCAAGATATACAGTAGTACTACGTAGTACTTTTCGGCCAAAATGTACCTGGTTCCATATATCTCCGTACAAAAAGGCGCCGGTTGGTTTAAATTCTATTACTCGATCAATTTTTCACCAATCGAAAATCTGAACCGTAACTTCTGTTGGGCTTTTCCAGTTCTATCGTTATTACGGTATATTTTCCTAAATAATATCAATACAAAGTTGGAATAGCTGTCGAAAGTCAAGGCATTTATTTGTAGTCTTTAGGTGACTTGCACCATAGTAGTATATTGAAGAAACTACAAAAATAAGGTCAGGTCTGGATGCTATATAAAAATGGCATAAAATGGTCGTTTTTAACGGCAACTTTTCCTAGAAAAGTTGCCATATTCGAAAAATGGAATAAAGTTTAAACATTTATACCACAATTTTCTTGAGAATCGGGTGTTTTATTGGTCCAACTTTTTTATGGCGGTTTGTGTTCACGTTGACAGAAGTCTTGCACTTAACAATCGGAAATCGAATCATTCTTCCATAATTACAAAGTTGTTTGGATGCAAGTTGAACTTGCATCCAAACAACTTTGTATATACTTCGTTTCTCCCTTTTTTCCAGGATATGAGACTTTGGGTGTTTTACCGCGCCAAAAATAACCCCCTCCTTCACCAACCACCTTATCAAATCAATGCAAACGTTAAATATTAACTGGGTAGCTATAGCATGCTATGATGTACTGTACAACAACGATGATGGAACTCGTATCCTTTTACTGTTACACCACTTTGCGTTTAATTTCAGCTTTTTTTCAAAATATTACCACCAACCTCCGATTTATTTCACCTAACACCCATTTTAATTCACCGAACCTCCATTATATTTCACGCAGAATTGAAATTTGGCCATTACATTTCACCCAACTTCCGACATAATTCACCCAACTAACGGTTAATTTCACCTTTCGAAAATATATTTCACCTGACTGTGAACACCGGTATATTTAATGGAAAGTAAATTAAAACCAACCCAAGCAACACATCTACGACATCTACGGCTCAAGCACCAACGTTCAAGTCTTCCATGTTCTCAGCACAGACATAAAACGGTTCAAGGCGGGCCATATGGACATGCAAACGATTCGGCTCAATTCCTAATTCATTATTGAGTTAAATACAATATAAATGCACTGAATACAGTACCTGCAATTGCCTCATCAGCTGTGTGTTCCAAGTATTGCATGCGAAACACATTTTGAGTCTGTCCGTCTGGCGGTGGCCCCATAAAGGCCGCGACTCGTTCGCGCAAAGATGTCGTAATGCGGCTCTTCAACACGATCAGGTTCAACATCGGGGAGTACGGCTCTAGTTTAAAAAACGAAGCGTCTTGAAACGTCATGTTAGCGATCAACAGAGAGACGTACCGGAGTTTGTGGTGCAGGGATGGCCTCTTCCGTAGAGTGCAGATTCAAAAATCAAGAATCCCAGCCCTAATTATAACACCTGTTAGATGAAATATATTTTCTAAAGTTGGAAATAACCGTATGTTGGGTGAATTATAACAGAGGTTGGGTGAAATATATCGCTGATGTTTTACATCGACGTGAAATATAATGGAGGTTGAATGAATTATACTTCGTACGTTGAGGGGTTATTTTTGGGTATTCTCTCAAAAAAGTATTCCTCACATTTTGCATTTCCCAAAACCATCTACCGTAGTGCTATAATAATCCAAATCACAAGCCTGATCCCTGAAAAGCAAAAGCAGTCATAAAATTCCTAAATTGACTCCCTTGAAGTGGTGGTTGGCAGCAGATGGCATAAAACGTTCTTGTGGTGTTGCAGTTGACAAAAGGGAGTTTGTATGGGGCCAAAAAGGAGCTAGCACTTCCTGGTTTCGATCCAGGGACCTTTGGGTTATGAGCCCAACACGCTTCCTCTGCGCCAAAGTGCTGTGGT